TATAGACACTCCACGCGTCTTGAGCTGGTGTTTTCTTCCTACCCCGTGAGGATAGAGAAGCAAGAGGCTTTGAACTTGAACAAGGGGGTTGTTCAAGAGTTGTTCAACCTGCTGTGCTAGTCACCTTCGTCCAGGACCAGAGAAGAGGCACTGCCTTCCACAGCCTCCTGTGGACTCCAGAGTCCTGTAGGGTTAAGGGGAGTTCATTCCAGGGGGCTGCGAAAAGCCTGGGGCTGGACCACATCAGGGGAGGGCTAATGGAATGTGGGGGGATGAAGCTACTGTGGAAAAGTCAGGGGCGAGGTGCCAGGGCCTTAGCAGAGGCAGAGCACCCAGAAGGCAGTGGAGATAAAAGTCCAGGCCGCAGATTAGCTCCAGGATTAGCTCTGTCTGCTGCTCTAGGCTGCTCTGGGCTGCTTCTTATCTCCCCCACAGCTCTGAGCCCTGGCCCTGCTAATTGCCTGTTAACCCCGTGGGTTCCAGTGGGCTCCGCGGCTGCAGGGAGGATGAGGAGTGGGGAGGGCGGGGGGCACATGCAAGCCAGCCAGCCAAGGAGAGCTTTCTGGGGAAATGGGCTGCGGATAGATGGAACCCGAGGGGCTGAGAGTAGCCACTGCTCAGAGTGGGGAGCTCTGGATGGCTTTCTCCCAAGCTCTGATGTTGTCTGGGGCAGACCTGGAGGAGAGGGCAGAGAGAAGGAGGGAAGCACACCTGGGGAGTGGTTCCTGGCTTGATAGGGGCAGTATCAGGCCCAGGAAAAGTCTAGTAGGAAGACAAGAGACAGAGACTGGATTCAGGCTAAGGATAAAGAGGATGCAGATGCAGAAGTCAAGGGGACAGAGATGATGGGGGTGGGGGGCAGCCAGGCCAATGAGAGAGGAAGACAGGCTAGGGTGACAAGCTGACAGAGGCCAGATGCATCATTTCTCAGATGCTGAGGATGGCCAGGCCAGGAGAATAGAAAAAGGCTTTGAGATACACACCAAGATCAGGGGACAGAGACTAAGGAGGCAAACCCAGGCCAGAGCCCAGGCCAAGAAAGGATAAAGTGCTCTGAGAGGGACAGGCAGAGGGCTGGCCAGAAAAAGGTCACGGAGGAGTTCAAGAGCCCACACGGAGCACAGACAGATTCCCATCCAGAAGCTGTTCAGCCTGGGTCCAGAAGGTGGACCTGGAAGCTAAGGCAGTGAGCAAGACTGAGGGCGGGGTGTGTGTGGGGGGATAGACCAAAGGAAGAGGTGGGGGTCTGAGATGGGGATGGGACCCAGAGGCCGAGGGTAGGTCTCTTGGAGACAGACCCTCAGCACACAAAGGCACATGGTGGCCCAGCCCCTGTCACTCTCTGTGGCTGGACCCTGGACTCTCCTGTACACATAGCCTGCTCCTGGGCCAGTCCATGGGGAAGAGAGCAGCGGCCAGCCTAGAGGACCTCGAGGCAGAGCTGCCGTGCCGTCTCCATGGAAGAGGCCATGGGCTGTGCCGCCGCCAGAGTGCTGCCACTTAGGGGCTGGCGACTCCACCCGCCGCTGCCGGCCTGGCCCGGGGACCGTCTCCGGGGCAACGCTCTGCTCTGCCCAGCAGTCAGGCCTGACCTGGGCGGTGCAGGTGGCCCTGCCAATCCGGCCTGTCTGTTCCCTGCGGTGTATATCCGTCTGACCCAGAGCTCTTCCTCCCTAGGCTGCTCTGCACCACCACCTCAAGGGCAGGGCAGGGTGGGGGCAGGAATGCCCCCCCCCCCCGCAAAGTCACTGTAGTCCAAACCTTCCTGGTCACCTCTGCCCTGCAGGGGCCTGGGCTCCGGGTCACGCAGCATGCGTCTGTGCGAACATGTTAGGGGTATTAGGAAGGGAGGCTGCCCAGCCCCACCCAGGGTCAGGAGCCTGCCGAAACCATGGATTCCCAGAATACCTGCCTGGTGTTTACAAGCACTCACTCTGCTTGGGTGCTTTGGTGATGGGCTCAGCTGTGTTTGAATCTCTGTTGTCATTTACTTGCTGTCTGCTCTTAGCCAAGTCATTTTCCTTTTCTGAGCTTCCTCACCATTAAATGGAGGCAACAATCGCGTGGTTTCTGGAAGGCTCAAAGGAGAAAATAAATAAAAAACACAATAGCACCTTTGGAAGGGCTCACCTGGCACTCCTTCCCTCCACCACACGCCTCCTTCTACAAGTTGTGCTGGGCTCTTTGCAAGCCAAGATAGTAAACGCCCACAGGGAGGCCACAGTCCCATGGATTGGGCCAAGCTGTGGAGAGACCGTGATGGTTCCTGGCAGTCAGGGAGAGCGGAGGTAGTGCTCCCCAGGCGGGGTAGGTGGAGGTGGGCGGCAGGTCACTAAGCCTGTCCCCCACAGAGCCCAGGCTGTATTCAGCCTCTCAAGTAGAGCACACACTCACAACTGGCTGCATTGGCAAGAGATTCCAGCGTCTTCTTGGCTTTAAGTAGGAAGAGGGTGGTGCTTTGAGATTTGAGGCTTCTACTTATGTATTTGCCCCATATGTCTTTTCTCCACCACTGAGGATCCAGGAATCTTGCACCCTGAGATGGGGTTTCTGGGTTTCCCTCCCTCCAGTGACAGGTCAGAGAGCAGTTCTAAAGCAGAGCAGTCTTACTGGACTCTCACCCGTTCCTTTAGGGTCTTTCTACTTGAAGTGTGGTCCAGGGACCCGCAGGTGGTTAGAAATGTGGAATCCCACACATTACTGAATCAGAATCTGTATTTTAGCAAGGTCCCCTGGTCCTTTGTGCACACATAAAAGTTTGAGAAGCAGTGATCTCGGAGACCTTTGGTAAATCAGCCCACCTCTCTGAGCCTGCATTTCTTCAGCTGTGGGATCTGGGGTGGTTGTGAGGATCCCATGGGAAAGAGCATGTGAAGCCTTCTAGCTTTAGTGCCTGGGCACAGCAAATGCTCTGGGACTTTGAGTGGTGCCTCCTCCTGCCCCAGCACAGAGTGGACAGGGTTGATCCAGACGGGGCCAAGGAAGGGAACCCAGAATCGGGTGAGGGGGCAGAGCAGGAGGGGTGGAACAGAAGAGGAACTGAGAGGCAGCTGATCTGTAGAACAGAGTGTGGAAGGTGTACAGGAGTGGAGTGCAAGGAAAGGAGGAAGAGAGGAAAGGGGGACAGATGGGTGTGGAGACACACTCCTGCTTCTTTTCTGCTGGGCGGGGCTGAGAAGGGGCTGGGGCCTGGCTGGGCAGGAGGGCAGCTGCCAGCAATGGGTTCTGGGAACAGCCCAAGTCCAGCGACTGGATGAATTCCACCTCTCCCACCAACTAGGTGACTGCTGGTGTGACCTTGAGCAAGTCACATCACCTCTCTGAGCAGTCCTTTCCTGGTCTATAAGCAACAAGTTAATTTCACCTACCCAGGGTGGCTGGGTGGCTCAGTGGGTTAAAGCCTCTGCCTTTGGCTCAGGTCATGATCCCAGAGTCCTGGGATCGGGGCTCTCTGCTCAGCAGGGAGCCTGCTTCCTCCTCTCTCTCTGCCTGCCTCTCTGCCTGGTTGTGATCTCTGTCAATAAATAAATAAATAATCTTAAAAAAAAAAATTACACCCATCCACACCAGAGCTGCTGAGTTCCTGAAATGGGGTGGGGGTGGGGGTTGACGCTGCCATGTTTTGTAAATTGCACGGTGCTTGTTATGCACCCATTTTTGTTTGAGGACCAAGAGACAGGGTGTTTGGGTGACAGAAGAACAGTGTGAGAGGGGTGTGAGAGGAGAGCAACAACTGGGTAATTGATTAATCTAAGGGGCATGGGACACTTAACACTGCTCCCCCAGTAAGGATGCCCCAGGCCCCCAGTTCTCAGAGATCCTCCCTCCCGCTGCCCCCAACCCAGCCCCTCTCTCTTCTACACCGTCTCTCTGAAGCTAGGCATTTAGGATATCTTTTCCCCAGCACCTCCCTTCCTTTTCTCCCAGCTTTCACCAGTGCGAAATGTTCCCAAGGAGAGGGGAGGGGGAGCGCGAGAGTGATTGAGTGCACTGACCCCTTGCCCCCAGGGAAGGTGCTGCCTGTGATGGGTTTGACCCACGGGCTCGTCTCTGTGGGGTGAGCCTGGCAGCGGGGAACTTGCCTCGCCTCTCCTTTGACCACGTCCCCCTACTCCCCTCCCCAGCTGCTCCCCAACGCTCCATCGTAATCTGGGTTGGCGGGGCCACAGCTTCCATCTCCGGGGCGCCAGCGCCATCTGGTGTCCATGCTGGGGAATTCTCCGTACGGGGAAAGGGAGCTTCGTTGAGCGCGGCAGTAACTGCTTCTAAGCCCTTGTGCTAGGCACTGGGCCAGGGTTGGGGACACCAGACAAGCTCGTTGCTCCTGTGCGTCATAAACCTCAGTGGAAGGAGAGATGGACACTGGACAAGGAGACAAACAGATACACAAGATCATCTCAGGTCTTGATAAGGACTTGGCAAACCGAGGAACACCTTGATGGATGGAGGGTGTCACTTAATACCCAGTGTATGTGGTAATATGGGCATGGGTCTGAAAAGGGGACACGTAAGCAGAGTCTTTTAAGTCTCTTTTAAGTCAGCTAAGCTGACCACGGGGCCAGATGGGAGACAGCGGTGAAAGGGGGCGGGGCACGAGATGGAAGGAAAGTGGTTGGATTCTAAATAGGTTCCAGAAGTAGAATCACCTGGCGCACATGCTGGATGGAATGCAGGGGTGAGGGAGAGGGAAGTGTCAGGGATTCCGATATGAGAAACGGGATAGACGGTGGGGCCCTTTAATTGGGGAGGGCACAGGGTTTGGGAAGATAGCAAGGAGTTGTTATTGATAGGTTACATTGGAGAAGCCGCTTAAGCATCTAAGAGAAGATGTCACTAGCAAAGATAGCACTTGGGGAAGAGGCTGGGCTGCAGAATGGTTGCTGTTGGACAGTGGTATCCAGGCAGGTGTAGTGGCCCTTTCACAGCACAGGGAACCTTGAGCTTAAGGAATTGTCTTAGCCCCTCCATTCATCTCCTCTCCTCCTCTCTCTCACCCACAGGTCTATACTCGCTACGGGAAGTGTTATACCTTCAACGCCGATCCACAGAGTTCGCTGCCCAGTCGGGCAGGGGGCATGGGCAGTGGCCTGGAGATCATGTTGGACATCCAGCAGGAGGAATACCTGCCCATCTGGAGAGAGACAAGTATGCAGGGAAAGGGACGTGGGCCACTTTGGGGGCACCCAGAGAGATGCCCTCTGGCTGGGATGAGTTTCCAAACGTCCCCATCTCCACTGTGCAGATGAGACATCATTCGAGGCTGGCATCCGGGTGCAGATCCATAGCCAAGAGGAGCCCCCCTACATCCACCAGTTGGGTTTCGGTGTGTCCCCAGGCTTCCAGACCTTTGTGTCCTGCCAGGAACAGCGGGTGAGCACCTCCAGTTGGGCCCTGAGTTGGACATCAGGCAGGGTCTTTGGGCACTGTGGGGATGCCCACCGGCCCTGCTCTCCAAAAGCTCACTGCCCACCAGCAACCCCCCCACCCAAGGACTTTGTTGGAGCTGTGGGCAATGGAGGGCCAGGTGGGACTCTGAGGCATGACCCCATGTGCACCCCCCCCCCCCGCAGCTGACCTATCTGCCCCAGCCCTGGGGCAACTGCCGGGCGGAGAACGGGCTCTGGGAGCCCGAGCTTCAGGGCTACTCAGCCTACAGTGTGTCTGCCTGCCGGCTGCGCTGTGAAAAGGAGGCCGTGCTTCAGCGCTGCCACTGCCGGATGGTGCACATGCCAGGTGGGCACCCACCCCTCCCGCCAGCTGTCGGGGCCACCCCGCCAGGCTCCAGAACCTCCCTGGGTGGAATGCTGCTCCTGTGCACGAGCACGTGCACCGCGGCATGCGTGCCTGCCTGTACTCCTGTGAGCGCATGCATGTATGTTGGAGATTTTTTAAAAAGATCTAGTTATTTATTTGAGAGAGAAAGTGCGGGGAGGAGGGGCAGAGGGAGAGAGAGAGAAGCAGACTTCCTGCTGAGCATGGAGCTGCACGGGGCCTCGATCTCATGACCCTGAGATGAGGAGCTGAGCTGAAATCAAGAGTCTGTCGGTAACAGACTGCGCCCCCCAGGTGCCCCTGTCCAGGATTTTACGTGTTTTCACATGTGTCTCTGGGAATACACTCATGTGTGCTTGTGGCCGTGTTAATATGTATCTATGCATACATATGTTTATGGACAGGGTTGTGTGGGTGTGCTTGAACACACGCATACAGATGTATGTGTATACATGTACATGCAAGTGTGCATATGTTTGCATTTTAGGCATACATGCACAAGCACGTAGAAGCTCATGCATGTACAGGGATGTACAGACATACGTGTTTGTGTGTGCATGCACACAGGTGTGTGTCCACATTTGGGAATGTGCTGGGGGAGAGGGGGTGGAACCGTAGACTCCAGGAATAATCTTCTCTCCTTTCAGGCAATGAGACCATCTGCCCGCCGAATATCTACATCGAGTGTGCCGACCACACACTGGGTCCGTGCTGCCTTCTCCCTTCCCCTGCCTCTCCATCATCCTCCTCTTCATCTCTGCCCACTGTTCTCCTCTCTGCCTTGGCCCCCCTCCTCCTAGTCTCTCCCGGGATGGTTCTGCCCAGGGTTGAGCCTTATCCCGTACTTCTAGGGGTTCTGAGGACTTTGCAGGTGTGGACACTTGGGTAAGTGGAGGCAGCAGGGTGAGGGGGTGCAGAAAACCAGGACTGGGAGTGAAGGGCTGGGCTTTCTGTTGTGGCTCAGTCAATGAGCTCACCTTCTCTGGGAAAGCGAAAGGACTTCTCTCTGTGTCTGAGGAGAGATGCACGGTTAAGTATCAGTGTGGGTAAGGCAAACCGCATGGGTCCCTAAGTCTCACTTGGGCTGTGATTCTCTCATTCTCTCACCCATCCATCCATTCCTTCTTCTGCAGACGTTGCAAGGCTGGTCTGGTGCTGGAGGTGAGAGTGGGAACAAGAGGCTGTCCTTATGGACCTTCCCGGCCTGTGGGGCTGTGGACCAGCACGATGGCCCGGTGCTAGTCCTTGCAGACAGGAAACTCAGGGGTGCTACAGGGTCCTGGGTGGGGCATGTAGCTCCACCTGGGAAGGCAGAAGGATCCTTGGAGGAAGTGATTGATTAGCTGAGACTTGAAGGGTGTGGAAAAAGTCAGCCTGGTGAAAAGCAGGGGGCATGATCTAGGCCCTGGGGACAGTTCTGTGCTAGATATCTGTGGCCAGAGAGAGAGCTGGAGAGAATGTGCTTGGGGAGGCACGGAAAGGTCAGCACTGCTGGAGGGCAGAGAACACAGGAGTAGGCAGCAAGAGGGGAGGGGGCTCTGGGAAGCCCACAGTGGCTCAAGGCAAGGCAAGAGCACCCTCTGAAGTTAGCAAGGTGCTGATCAGCCGTGGAGAATGGAAGGCAGGAGTAAGAGCAGAAGCAGGGCAAGTGGTCAGGAGGGCATTGCAGTCCTCCGGATGGTGGGGCCATGGGGAGTGGACGGGCAGTGGAACCACATGGGAGACCGTCTCTGTCCCATATCCCAACCGCATCACAGCCAGAGGGGCAGCGGAAGGACAGTTAATGAAAGGGCAGATGTGGAAGTAGGGACGTGGGAACCACAGTGATGGTGAAACTTCACAGAACTAGCAACATCGGGCAGCCTCAACTTGTGCAGGCCTAAGGCGGGGGAAGGGGAGGAACACCGCTGGGGCCCAGAGATCTGTGGCTGTCCCAGAGGACAGGAGCTAGGACCACAAGAGGGGGGAGTGGCCTCAGCTGACCCACCGCCTGGTGAAGAGGAAGCCCTGGCATCTTTCCCCCCTTTCCCCTCTGCCCCTGCTGGGGTCTCTCCCCTTGGTTCAACCCAGCCCAAAGCCAGAAGATAAGGGAGTCCAGCTGATGCATCAGGCAGAGCGCCCCGCCTCCTGGGCACAGAGAAAAGTGGAGGAGAGTGAAGAGTGAATCTGAAGAGGGGAACAGAAAATCCAGCATATTAAAAAAGAAAGAAAGAAAGAAAGAAAGAAAGAAAGAAAGAAAGAAAGAAA